GACTGAAATGGGTCCAGATAATCAGTCTCATCCAAGAGAGCTTGGATGAGACTGATTATCTGGACCCATTTCAGTCCGGCTTCAGACCCGGGTATGGTACTGAATCTGCCTTGGTCACCCTGTATGATGACCTGTGCAGGGAGAGAGACAGGGGGAGTGCGTCCCTGTTGGTTCTCCTGGACCTCTCAGCGGCTTTCGATACCATCGACCATGGTATCCTTCTGGATAGGCTAAGGGGGCTGGGAGTAGGAGGCACTGCTTGTCAGTGGTTCCGCTCCTGCCTCGATGGCCGATTCCAGAAGGTGGTGCTGGGGGACTATGGCTCTGCGCCATGGCAGTTATGCCATGGAGTTCTGCAGAGGTCTATTCTGTTCCCCTTGCTCTTCAACATCTACATGAAACCGCTGGGAGAGGTCATCCGGAGGTGCGGGCTGCGGAATCATCAGTACGCTGATGATACCCAGCTCTACCTCTCTTTTTCAACCAATCCAGGTGAGGCAGTGGCTGTACTGAACCGGTGCCTGGATGAGGGCCAATAAACTGAAGCTCAGTCCAAACAAGACGGAGATCCTGCTGGTAGGTGGTTTGAACTCCTGGGTAGGTGACTTGGATCTTGTCCTGAATGGGGTTGCACTCCCTCTAAAGGACAGGGTCCTCAGCTTGGGAGTGCTCCTCGACCCGAAACTGACTTTGGAAGCTCAAGTGTCGGCGGTGGTGAGGAGCACTTTCCATCAGCTTCGGCTGATCCATCAGCTGCATCCCTACCTGGAGGACGACTGCCTAGCAACAGTGACGCATGCATTGGTTACTTCCCGGTTGGATTTCTGTAACACGCTCTACGTGGGGCTGCCCTTGAAGACAGTCCAGATATTCAGATGGTGCAAAATAGAGCAGCCAGGTGGCTGACGAGGACTGGGCATTATTCGCATATAACCCCAGTCCTCTACCAGCTTCACTGGCTTCCCATTGAAGTCCAGGCTCAATTCAAGGCGTTGGTAATTACTTATAAAGCCCTTAATGGCTTGGGACCCGGATACTTGAAGGAACGCCTGTGGCCATATTTGCCCTCCCGCCCCTTGAGATTGGCAGCAGGGGCTCTCCTCCAGGAGCCTTCCGTAAGAGATATCAGGAAGCAAAGTACCCGGAAGAGGGCCTTCTCTGCGGTGGCGCCCCATCTGTGGAATGTGCTCCCCAGAGAGGTCCGCCTGGTGCCGTCGTTATTTGTTTTTTGGCGCCAGGTGAGGACCTTTTTATTCAAACAGTATTTTAATAACCTTTAATATTTATAATTTTAATTATGCAGCCAGTGTGTTTCCAAGTTTTAATTGTAATTGTAATTCTGTTTGTTTTATTCATTTGTGTTGTGAGCCGTCCCGAGGCTGTGTAGCAATGGGGACGGCATATAAAAACTTTAAATAAATAAATAATAAAGAAATCTTAGTCTCATGAAAACTAATCAGGACTTTGGGCAGTAAAACGATTCAAGTATGAGAAGTTGAAATGGAGGTGAGGGTGTGATAGATATCTTAATTGCCATTTTCCTGCAGTTTTTTAGCTATCTATATTACATGTTCAGAAGTGACAGCAGGCCCACAATCTTGCAACAATCTCTTGCTGATATAAAGAGGTTGAAAAGGACCATTTCATGGCTAACTAGGTACTTTTCATTTCCATCTTCTTTCTCTTTGTCTAGGTGAGTTCAATTCAGAATCAAATGCAGTCCAAAGGAGGCTATGGCGGAGGCATGTCTGCAAACGTTCAAATGCAGCTTGTAGATACAAAAGCGGGATAACTGTGGGACATATTTTCAGTGAGTATGGTAAAGGTTGCCAGTGTTCTTGCTTGCTTCCTCAGCCTACCAGAATACAAAAGAACACAAGTTTCCAATCTGTTGTGTTTTTTAAAAAAACAATCGTCTGTAAATGGTTAACTTCATTACATTTGTTATTCTGAAGCTATTTGCTCCATCTGAGGAGCCAAACACAAGAAAGTTGTGTATGTAAATGTGTGTTCTCTATTATGCACCTAGTGATAACAGTATTCCAGAGCTTGTTAAACTGATTGTGCAGTTATCCATCAACACTTTAAATGTTTAGCATTTCTGTCTTTACAGAATATATTTACACTTTAATTTTCCAGCAATACCAAACTCCAAACAATTAAATGGAAAAGTAGAGAAGAGACAGCACAGTGATACTTTTAAATGCAGCATAAATGCATTTAGTATTTCAGATAATAAAAGTAGTTTTGTCAGATGATCAGTCAACATAATCTTATGCTGCGCAATTCCCTGCCTTTTCCATACTGCCTGACTGAGGAAGGGAATCCTGGTAAGGATGTCAGAACGTGGGACAAAAACTTGTGCTATGTGTGACAGTGAGAGAAAAATGAAAGCTAAGACTGTCATGTTCAGCGATTGCTATGTTTGCTGTAAACGCTGTGTCTTTCCCTTGTTCTGAGAACATAGTATTGCCTGTTTCACTTATTTGTTACTATCTTCTTTGCAGGTCCTTGTGAATTTCTGTACTTCTTTCCTGTGTCCCTCTCTTTATGCCTTGGTGACTGCTTCCTGTGCTCATGACAAGAGAAGTTGATGGCTCATCATCCACCCTATTGAAACATTCCTGTTCTGCTGTGAGGATATTTATCAGACTGGTCTTGCCATGCCTTTCACATGACAAGCTTACATCTCACTGCTACCAAAATATCTGTGGTCATAGTAATGGTTGAGTTATTTTTTGAGTTTTTTCCCTGTTTACTCTCAGCATTTTAAAACAATATTTTAAGCAATCTAAATTCTTAACATATATTTTGGTGTTGGGTTGATTTTTTTTTGGGTGCTTCTTTTGCAAAGCCTTGTTTACAACATTCCCTTCTTTGTTGGGTTTTAAAATCTTCATGTCCTTATTGGTAATTAGAGAACAAGCAAGTTCCTAGTAATATGTTGAACCTGCCATTGTTAACATATGTCTAATGTTTGTTATATTTGATCATTATGCAAGCACAATGATCATTTCACACCGAAATCAGCAGAGCATATGACCGCATGCTATGTGAATTTGCTTGGTATGGTGGCCTGTTGGGTGCCAAATCCTTTTTTTAATGCTTGATCTTGCTGATGGATAATACTATTGCTGATTTAAAAGTTTTGCAATGACACCAGTTCATGCCAATCTTTCTGGGGAGGGCGGAGGGAGGACTTGCAACTTTTAGCTGCTTCAGAAAATTCATCGTCTTAGGTTTTTGATCCAGCTGGTCTTGAAATAATAAAGAGAGCTTGCATTCATAAGGCATTTTGTTGTAAATGTTCAGTATATTTATTTTGAAAGAGCTGACCTCAAGATTGTAAGCCAGTGTAGTAACGTACAAACTAAATGTTGTGGTGGCGCTTTTGTCTAGTTAAAGAGACATTGTTATGTTGGCTGCTTTTTCTTTTCCTCCTTTCCCCTTTTTAATGCTTAATTTTAGGCCATTCTGGCATTTCCAGTAGCAGCATGTTGAACTGCCTGCAATATTATAGCTGGAATTTAGTTGACCTTAAGTAGTCAGCAGTTTCCGCATACTAAATATTTAGGGGCCATGTAAGTTGCTAAGAGCAACATAGTAACCTGGCAGGAACTAATGCCAGCAAGAACAACATACAGGGTGGCTTTTTGCTGTATTGGTAAATAAGCCTTTTGCTCAGGTTCCAAAGCATGTTCCTCTTTCACTATGCGTGAAAAATTGTGTTTTAATATTGCACTGTTTTTGAAATTTCTCTCTTAAGTGGTCCTTTTTTATTTTCATATCTTTTGTCTTCCTCATTGTCCCCCTTATCACAAGAAACTGAACTCAATTGATTGAACACTAGGGAAATATTTTTAAACCACACATTAGGATCCTTTTCATGCAACATTTTTAACATCTTAACTGGCAAGTGGAATAACTGAGCCCAATTGGAAAAGTGTTAAAGTGACAAGCACCACACACTCACAGACGTTTGCTGCAGAGGCTCCACTCATTTCAACAGGAAATATACAGGAACCTTATGCAAGGCCTCATTGAACCTAAGGGGATTACACAGTAGCACTGCTTTGTGGTTAATGCCTATGGGTATTTTCTTCCCTCCTGTTCATAATTGTAAGGGACAGACACCAGAATGAGGGGTCATCATACTTCAGTTTAAAAAAAAAATCCTGGGTACTACTCCAAATGCAAACATTTTTCAGAAGGTGTTCCAGTTATACCTTTATCCAAGACCACTGTTGGGCCCAAGCCACTGTGTAGGTAATTGGTCTAAACGTCTCACTCCAGGTCACTCCTTACTGATGAGCTGAGCCTAGAGGACGCATGGTGTATGGTGCCTACTAGTTGTCTGGGGCAGTAGGGTAAAGTATAGTTTTATTGAGAAAATATCTGATTCTGATTCAGGTAGTTCAGTCTGATATTGTCACCTGACTGAAATACCTTGGATCAAAGATAGGGTCTGTCATGGGTAAGTTCTCAAAAATGCTCTTCAAAGTGTTCTGGAGTTTCACAGTTATTCTTGTTTTTATCCTGATTGAAAATCAATTCTAGTGAGCATTTTTTGGTCCAAGATAATGATAATAATCTTCAGCTCAGTCGCCAGAAAAGAGAGACATATTTTTATAACAAACATACATTTTTTGTACATTATGTTCATTCTTAAATAATGTAAGTTCAATGTTGTCTTGTAGATATTAAAAGGAGAGTATTGACTTTTGATTCAATAAATGTTTTCTTTCAGTTACTGGTTTCTTTCTTTACATAAACAATGCCTATTCGATTTTGAAAAATCCTCAAAGAAACAATTTCATCTTTTCAAATGTATTACATTTGGAGACCATATTGAACAGCTTTATATACAGTGGTACCTTGGCTCACAAACTTAATCCATTCCAGGACTCTGGTCGTGAGCCAAATTGGTCATGAGCCAAGTCAAATTTCCCCATAAGGTTCAATGTAAATAAGGTTAATCCGTTCTGTAACCATTTTCTAAATCACAAAAATGTAAAGCAAAGTGATAACAACAAAGATCGCGGCCATCTCCCCCCCACACACACACCTCAAGCACAAGCGCGGCCATCTCCCCACTCCCCCCAGCATGACCGAGATCGCACCTGTCATCCCTGCACGCCCATCATCCTGGTGTGCTGGGGGAGGGAGAGATGGGTGCAAACGGTGCGCTGGGGTGGGGAGATGGCCTCGATCGCAGTTCCGTTCATGCAGGGAAGGTGTGCCTGATCAGAGGCGCGCTCCTGCAGGAAAGACAGGTGGAATCTCAGCCATCTCCCCACGGCTCTGCTTTGCTGCGCCTGTCTTTCCTGCAGCCGCACGCCTCTGATCACGGACGCCTTCCCGGCACGAAAGCAACTGCAATCTGTGATCAGAGGTGTGCGGCTGCACGAATGACAAGCAGATTCGCGGCTCTGCTTTGCTGCACCCGTCTTCAGTGCAGCCGCACGCCTCTGACCACAGACGCCTTCCCTGCACGAATGGAACTGCGATCGGGGCCATCTCCCCACGGGGGGGTGGCTGCAATCTTGGTCGCCACCCAAAGCGGTGTTCGTGACCCACGTAAAGATTTTTCAGGAATTTTTGTTGGTGACCCGATTTGTTTGTGAGCCAAGGCGTTCGTGAGCTGAGGTACCACTGCATTATCTTTTTATCAGTGTGTAATGTATATAGAAACATGCACAAGCACACACTTGCTTATTAGTGTATGGTATTTGGTTCTGCCATGCTGCCCTTTCACAATATCTTGACACATCCCAGTATCAATATTTCTGTAGAATTCAATGAGCAGCAAAGCCTGTCAACATATATGAAATACAAGCTGCCTGAATTTAAAAAAATAAAACTTATTCTACGTTTTGGGAAGAACTGAATGGAACACTCATGCCCTCTCTGATGCTCTTCCATAAGCCATGGGTTCTGGGAATTCTGTTGCATAATTGGACCCATTTGGCACTGCCTAAAGGAAGCCCTGTAACAAGGATAAATGCTTGTTTCTGGAAGGTGGCGTATTGGCAGAGCTCCTTTAAGTGAGCTGCACTGATCTGTCTTAATTCTATATTCTAGCATTTCCACTGATGTTGGTTTGCCTTGGAAGTGCCAAACTGTTGTTATTCCAGTGGCAAGGGCCATGTCTACCATAGAACTGACAGGGCATAAAATAATTTGGCAGGGCTCTAAGAACCTCTTGAATTGTGCTCCTCAAATGCGATTAATGCATGTGAGTTGTGCTCCAGCAGTGCTCCAGCTATCAATTGCTGGCATGCTGGTTGAATATATAAATGGATCTCCTGCTTTGAGAGTGCTACCCAATCTGTCTGCCCATAACTCTCTAAACTCAGAGGATTACAAATGTCCGGTCGCGCAAAGGATGAGCATCCTTCTCCTGTCCTGCAAAACACATGAATGGCTAATGCTGTCCATCTACCTATTTTGATCCTACTCGTGAGAAAGACGGGCTGAGGCACTGGCAGGGCTTCTCATATCCCAGCAGAGTCTCAGACCTTAAGTATGCCGCAAAATTCTCTGTCCTCCCCATGCTGGCTCTGAAGTGGCAGTTGTGACTTCAGAGCCCCAGCCAGCTCAGAAAGAACTGTGCCAGCTGCGGAGATAAAGGAAGGGCATTTTCAGGTTGACATACTAGCTCTTGGAATATATTTCTGAGATCAGAGCTGGAACTGCAGGCTATCCTATGAAGGTCTAGACCAGGGGTCCTCAAACTTTTTCACCAGGGGGCCAGTTGAAAGGCGCTGGTGCTGGGAGCAGGCTGGAAATGTGGTGCCGGCAGGGCGTGTGGGCTGGCGCGGGTTGTGGGGGCTGGACAAGGGGAGGGGAGGGGAGGCAAGGCGGGGGCAGGCATGGACCACAATGCAGTGGCTTGCTCGCTTAGAGATCATTTTCTCCGAGTGAGTCCAAAACAATCTTCTTGCGAGCAAGCCACTGCCTCCCTGCGTGGGGGGTGAGGCGGGCGCGTGTGGTGCGCTGAAAACCTCTGAGGCAGATTGAATAAATGGCCATGGGCCAGATCTGGCCCCCGGGCCGTAGTCTGAGGACCCATGGTCTAGACAATGGCTAGCCACCATAGCATTGCAGCCTGTTTATGGTGAAAGTCAGAAAACTGCTTAAAAGACCAAGTGCATTACACATGGCTGTAGTTGCATCAGAATTTCACCTCTGTTTGTGTCTTCCAGCTCGAAAACTGCTATCATGCAGAACTCTCTGTATAGCTGCAGAAAAGAGCAGCGATCTAACACAGTAGGAAGGTTGAAGCAAATAGCTGGCACAATGGCATGGGCCCATAGTGGATTATATGAATGTTTTGACAGCAGGGTCAGCCCCAACACCCGGAAGACCTGCATTTCAAATCTGTCTTGTGCTTCTGATTGCTTGTCAGCCAATCTCAGAAGCTGAAATGAACAGAAAACAAATTTCTGCAACAGTGACTACTTCATGAGAACACAAGCAAAACCTGACCAGATCAGCCTAACGGTCCACCTTTTCCAACACTCTCTTATCATTAAGGTGCTGTGGCTCTCCAGTAACCAGCATCATAATACACTGCCATTTGAAACTTGGAAGTTGCATACAGCTATTGGACGTCAGCATACTAAGAGGAGAAAACCTTCAATTCTCAGTAGCTAGAAGACTCAAGACAGAATGAGATACTGGCAATTTTCTTCTTTTAATCACTGATAGAATTTTGATTTAGAAAATCCATGGCCTTTTTAAAGGAAAACAGTATTGCTTACAGAATTATTTAAATTATTTGTAGGAGTATTATTACATTATTAATATTTTTCCTATCTCTTCAAGTACATGGGAATGCAAAGCAAAGCTTCTAAAGCAGAATTGTACAATGGCTGCTGCCATATTATCCTGCCACTAGCAATTATGGTAAGCCTCTAAGTCAGCTGTCCTATCCCAAAAGGCCTCTAAATTCCATCAAATCCACAAACTGAATACTGTATAAACAATAAGGATTGTGCATTCTGGCATCCTCACCCCATGGAAGAAGAATTCCTTTCAAAACATTTTCCATGGATTATAAATGTCATGTTGAAATTGCCCTCAAGGCTACTGACGTACCATGCATCATATTACCGTATGATCCTGCACATGTCTACTCAGGAATCAGCCTCATGTATTCAGTGGGAATTACTCCTGGGTAAGTAAATACTAGCCTCCACATAAAAGCAGTGGGCTATACACCTGGGGGAAAAGACTTCCAGGTTTTGAAAGCAAAAGTGAAGGTGCAAGGAGTGATGTTTAGTAGCCAGAGATGATAAATCCAGCAAGCTATTCTGTGCTAACCAGCAACTGGTTGGACAATTTGGTATAAGGGATATAGATATATTAACAAGGCTGTGTCAGAACTCTGTGTGTGAGAGAGAAGGAGAGGTGGAGGGCAAATAGGTGACTGTTCTTTTTGCATTCTGGTAAGTCCTCCAATAAAAGGAAACATCCTTGTGTCACTTCCATTTCCACTGTAACAGCATGAGATCACTGACGAACTGCATTTCCAGCAGCGTCTGTGGCTGATGCACACTTCTGCCCTGCTTTTCATGAATCTTGGCCTACTTCTGACAACCTCTATCAAGTACCACTAGAGAGAGAAACTAGTTTAGCTATGCAGCTTGGAGGGGCTTTGATTGGCTCTATTATGGTAGATTTTAAACTGCTGAGTGAAGGGAAGATGAGGGAAAGCTATTTCCATTGTTCCTAGCTCCACACTTGCTTATAGGATTCCCCCACTCTCCTTGTAATGGTATACACAGTTCTAGCGGATCAGCTACTTACTAGTCATACAGTTCAGATTATATATTACAAAACCAAAGCTGCTCGTTTATTTAATGTATCCTGCTGTGACTATTATGCATAACACTTTCCAGAGAAACACAATTATATCTCTGCCAGCTTGGATGCCATAATTGTTATAGGTCAGGTGGCTATAACTTTGTTCATGTCCAATTATAGCGATACTTTCAATCCAAGCACGTGCACAGGCTCTTTGAAGAGGTAGGGGCTGCCACTTGTGTGCTGGTGCCTAAAACTAGCCAAGAGCACACTAGCTAAACAAGTAAGTGCCGTGGTGAATCCGTCTTTATGGCAAGTTAGGATTCCATCTTGCCTGCAAGAAGTCATGGTAAAAACATCGGGTTTTTTTAACCCTCCCTGAACCTCTCTGTATTAAATACTGTCTGGCCAGTCTCCAGTATCCCATTCTTAATGAAGGTGTTGGAGCATGTGCTGGCTTCTCACTCCAGGGACTTCGAGATGAGATGGATTATCTAGAACCAGATGCGGTTTTGGTCACCTAGGTCATATGATCTATGCTGAGAACAGGACAGGGAGAACATGTTGCTGTTCTGTTGGATCTTCCAGCAATGTTGGATCCCATCAATCCTGGTACCCTTCTCCAGCATCCATCTAAGGTGAATCTGGGAAGCACTGTACAGTTCCATCATATGCTACGTAACATTGCAGGAAGCCCCTGGGAGAGATTGTGTGGAATTCTGTAGTTCAGTGCTATCAGGGTACTGATGATCCCCAACTTGATTGGTCCTTTCTGCCTAAATCCAAGGACGCTGTGCTGGTGCTTGGAGTCAATAATGAACTGGATGTGAGCAAACAAATTGAAGCTGAATTCGAACAAGACAGAGTTGCTCCTAATTGATGGAATTGCAGATCAGGGAATAGGGATGAATGCTGTGCTTAACACCTCCCTGAAGAAC